CACGGCCCTGGGTGCAGCACGCCCGGGGACCCCCAGGTCCCCTGAGCCAGGGGTACGTCTCGTGCCAAACCCAGGGGGAGACACCAGGCCCTGTTTCTCGTCATGCTTCAAAATTTCAGCCCTGTAGAAAACTCGTGGGCCTGCACAGGGCATCTGCAATGAGAAACTCTTTCCTGTAGCAGAAATGCCAAAACCCCAAAGAAAACTGTGTTGTTTTATCACCTACGGATTGGGAAGTGGGTGACGAGGAGCAGCGAGCAGGTCGCTGGTGCTGAACTGAGCCACAGCAGCTGACAACAGGGCAGGTCTGGGCCCTTACGTGAGCAAATACCGCATTTCTGAGCAAGCCTATGTCTCATCTCCTCTTACAGGGCTCCAGCAGCATTTCTGAGCAAGCTTCTTTCTCCTCGCCTCCTACCAGAGCCCAACCGATCCTGCAAACGTACGAGCGGAGCTTGTACAAAGGGACCGCTTGTGACAGCAGCTAGGTTTTTTGCCGTCCCCTGGGACAATATATGCAGGGAAAAATCGGGTTCGTCTCGTGCAGATTAAGGGCTGGGGGCAGGAGCCTGCGGCGTTTCATCCTCTCCTCCCTGATGTAGGTGTCTGAGATGGAGAGCTGTCTGTTTAGACTGTGCTCACTGGCTTGAGGAATATGTGGCGTCCACGGTATGTGGTGGTTCTGTTTTTCCAGGTTTGGAAACCGACGGGAGGGAGAAAAATGAATCACGTAAACCTTTGTCGGGGTCCAGATATCAAACCCCTTCAAGCTGGACCCGAGGCTTGCAAGGTGCCTGCCTGCCCTTTCCAGCCCGGCGGAGGCCGAGCTGTGAAGGCATCGGGACTGCACGCGAGCGAGCGAGTCCAAAATTAATCTGAAGGGTGAAAATTAACCTTGGGAGTGACAGTGAGATTTCACGGAAGGAAGAACCACTTGGCAGAGACTGAACTCCTAACCCTGGACCTTTATCTCAGTCACACCTGGCGCAGATGTGTGCTTCAGGAGCAAAAACCTCAACCTTCAGTGTAAAAAGGACGGTAACAACGCGGCTCACCTCCAACAGGGACGGGCAGCAGCGCAGGCGATGGAGGGATCAACCCGTAAAGGCATAAGAACAGGGAAACGCCAATAAATACTGCAGGTTGATTGCAGCTAGCTTAAACAGACCTACTCTCAAAAAAAAACCCCAAACCCACAACCCAAAAAACCCCAAAACCCCCCCAAAAAACCCTGAAACAACAACAAAAAAACCCCACTCTGAGAAAGGCCTCCCCCAACCCTGATAAAGCCTTTCCCACCTGCCTGAACTAAAAGACTAATCAGATTTTTTTTGTTGTTCTTACCAACTGACTTTGCTTTTAATTACGCTGATTACACACTGCTGGGCTAATTAGTGTGCAGTAACCTGATTTCCCTAGATAAAGGCAGAAATACACGGCCAATAATCAGATTAATTCGCGTGCGTCTATTTTTTAATGTGCGTGCATATTCGTAGCATGAGTGTGGATGTAGACGTATTGGCCCACGGATTAAAGCAAAATTTCCTGGATATGGAAGTATCCTTAATTAGACCAAATAAACCCAAAATTCGCAGGAAAAGACCTGTTTTCCAGCCGAGCCGGGCTTGTGTCCCCGCTGCCTGCTCTCCCCCCGCTGCGGCTTTCTCGCTGCCCAGCGCAGGGCGGTGACGGGGCAGGAGTTGATCTGCTTGATTTTTATTATTTTCTTTTATTTTTTTTTTCACGCGGGGAAAGACCCGCGGGAACTTTTAACGCGCTCCTCGGCGCAGCCGCGGCCGT